AGACTGTACCATTGAATTCAAGCCTGGGGCAAAACTCCCGAAGCCCAGATTATACTCCATGAGCCCAAAGGAGAAGGAGGAAATGGAAAGATTTATAAAAAAAAAACCTGGAGAGAGGTTTCATTGAGCCAGCCAAGCCTAAAGTGGCTGCCCCGGTCCTTTTTAGAGAGAAGAAGGATGGCTCTTTACGTTATGCGTGGATTATAGGGCCCTGAATACAATCAGTGAAAGCAACCTATACCCTCTGCCCTTCATGAAAGACATGCTGTCACACCTATCGAAAGGGAAAATTTTTTCTAAACTAGACCTAAGGGAAGCTTACTATCGTGTGAGAATTAAGGAAGGGGACGAATGGAAGACTGCATTTAACTGCCCCATGGGATGCTACCAATTCAAAGTCTTGCCATTTGGATTACAAGGGGGGCCTGCAGTCTTTATGCAATTAATCAATGACGTTCTAAGGGAGCACCTGTTTAAGGGGGTCCTTGTTTACTTGGATGACATTCTTATCTTCACCGAAACAAAAGAGGAACATGTCAACCTTGTCAGAACAGTTTTAAAGAAGCTGCGAGCTGCCCACCTATATGCCAAACTCTCAAAATGCGAATTCCACCAGGAAAGGATAGACTACCTAGGCTATCGCATATCCCCACAGGGCATTGAAATGGACCCAGAGAAGGTCAAAGCAGTATTAGATTGGGCGCCACCCCGCACAAGAAAGCCACTACAAAGTTTCCTGGGCTTTGCAAATTTTTTACGCCAATTCATCCCCCTCATTGTGCCCAGATAGGCCTTGCCCCTCACTAACTTACTAAAAAACGAAGGGAGCATCCTCAGTAAACCTAGCCAGCGACTAACATGGACAATGGCAGTGCCAAGAGCAGCGTTTGAGAGACCTAAAGAAGACTTTTTGCTGGCCGAACCAATACTAAGGGCACCCCCAGGACATGGACAGCCCTCGTAATAATACAGGCAGATGCAAGTGATTGTGGCCAGTGGGGGCTGTGCTATTACAAGAAAATGATGATGCTAGTTATTGCAACCCTTGTGAATATACATCCAAGAAACGCACTGGGAAACAGAACAGCGTGGGCCGTATGGGAGAAGGAGGCTTATGGGATACGTTGGGCAATTACGCAACGGGCGAAAGTTCCTGGAAGGCAACAAAATCCCCTTCCAGGTGTGGACTGATCAACAAAAATTTAGAAAGCCCCTGAAAACTTCCAGGAAACTCAATCCCAAACAAGCCCGCTGGTCCCAGCATTTTCACCAATTCCAATTTAAGCTCAAACATTTAACAGGAAGAAAGAACTTCCTGGCAGATGCTCTATCTCGCATGCCCCAATATAACAGCGCACGAACCACAGACTCTAGACCAATAATGGCAGAGTCACAACTGGCAGCACCAGTAACCACAAGAACCCAAGCCAAAATAAAATCACAACTGGACAGCCAAACTGGGATTGAATTCAGAAAAAGTTTGGAAACAGATGAATGGTTCCAGAAAAACAAACATGTGTGCACAATGAGAGACGGATTGCCTTGGGTAGGGGAAAAGTTATATATACCAACAACTCAAAGAGTAACTTTCATGCACCTTTGCCATGACACAAAATCAGCAGGGCCTTTTGGATTTGTAAAAACTTTACATTTAATTAAACGGCAATTTTGGTGGCCATCCATGAAAAAGGACATTGAAAGTTATATAGCCAGTTGTCCAAAATGTGCCACGGCAAAGAGTTTGCAAGGGAAAGTGCCAGGACTATTGCAAACAGTGGCAAGTCCCTCAGCCCCCTGGAGAGAAATAGCCATGGATTTAGAGAAATAGCCATGGATTTTATAGTGGAATTGCCAGAAAGCAATGGGAATACTGTGGTCTGGACGGTCACGGACTTGTTTTCCAAACAGGTGCACTTGATCCCTTGCCAAAAGATTCCCACTGCAAAAGCCTTAGCAAAACTTTTCATCCAACACATTTACAGATTGCATGGGGCACCCCAACGCATCATCTCTGACAGGGGGGTGCAATTTACGTCTGCATTTTGGAAGGAATTTTTATCCCTCTTATGAACCACTCAGGGACTGACATCTAGCCACCACCCTCAAGGAAATGGGGGGGCTGAAAAAAATGAACTCCGTATTTAAGCAATATTTAAGATGTTTTCTTAGTTTCCAGCAGACCGAGTGGGCGGACTTACTCCCTTTTGCAGAAGTTGCCTACAATAATGCAGTCCCCTCCAACACAGGTTACACTCCTTTTCAAATAGCCACCGGTCAAAGTTTCAACCCCATGCCAGAGTTAACCCCAAACGAACCAACGATCCCTTCACTGAAAGACTGGATGGAAAAACTACAAAACACCTGGCCAATAGTTAGAAAGCACTAGATGAAGCTAGCAGGGCTTTACAAAAACACAAGCCGATAAAAAAGGTTGAGCCTACACCATTCAGTTATAGGATAGTGGTTACTTTATCTACAAAATAACCTAAAGTCCCTACAGCCCTGTAAAAACTTGAGACCAAATACCTAGGACCTTTCCAATTAAAGATCATAAATCCAGTAACAGTAGAATTAGATTACCCAAAAATCTCAGGCAAATACACCCAATTTTTCATTGCAGCTTGCTGAAAAGAGAGCCTCAGTCACCTCTACGGCCAAAAATCCCCCCCCCACCACCTTACATGGGGGGGGGGGGAGAGGGGATCCTACGGAATGCACAGCTGGTTTCTCTCCGCATGGGAAGCAAGATTGCAGGAGAGATGTTATGGCCAGCAAAGACTTTCTTCGGATAACAACTGCCTGAAGAATAATTAGACAATCTGAAATGTCAGAGAGGGGAGGGAAGGTTTCACTCTTTGAATTATCTTTCTGGCGCCAATTTGCCAGAGCTGGTTTTCTATTTTTTAGAGATCGGAATCTCTCAGGTCTGTTTACTTCGTTGGGATCATCAGCCGGAACCTTGACATTTGGAAGGTGAAGAATTCCAAGAAGTGGGGTTAGCAGTTTTTAGTACAGGTGTGTGTGAGAGGTTCTCATGGGACCAGCCAGCCCCTTATGTGGGCCTCTATGTTCCCCCACGCAAGACTGCACAACCCAGTTTTGACCCCTTTGTGGAAAGCCAAGGCTTTCCTTACCTCTGGAGGCAAGATGCTCCACAACGCGGGGACAGTGGCAGAGAAGGCCCTCTACCTAGACGCCAACAGGAAAATTCCTTGACTGACGGAGTCTGTAGCAGGCCTTCCCTGCCTGAACAACTGGGAAGCGGGGATATGATGGGGCGAAGGGACCTGGAAGCAAATTGGCACCCAGGGCAGTTCATGGAGCAGAGGTATTATATCTGCCTTTCTTTGGGCACTTAGCATGGCTTGCATGACTGCATTCTGCACAAGCTGAAGCTTCCAGGTAGCTTCATGTAGACTGCATTGCAATAGTCCAATCCATTAGTAGATCTTTTATTGGGAGCTGCCCAGAGTTACCAAAAGATGGGCAATTCTATAAATGTTTTAAATAAAATCTGAAGGAGCAGGCTGGGCAGAGACCACCCTGCAGAAAATCTATCCATGTGACAAGGACTGTGTATAATTATCAATTATCATGAACTTTAGATTTAGCAGAAGCTTTACTTATTTCCAGACTCACAAGAAATCCTGAGAAAAAAATCAAATGTTTTAAACATCCACAGAAAGAAGCTTTTCTCACACAAGGTCGAAAACATTTTGAAAACGACCAAATCCTACAAAAAAGGCAAGATTAAAAAAAAATGAACCAGTACACCTAAAAACATAGTTAAAGGAAAAGTATTTTAAACATCTATTTAACACTTTTGCCCAAGATGGCAATTTGCATCTGTGAAAAAGCTATCCATCTTTTCCAATTTTTTATAAATAATTTATTTATTTACCGTCCCTATTATGAACCACAATCCTGGGTGGCCCGCAAAACAGTACATTTTTTTTTTTAAAAAAAGAGAAATCTCTAGGCACTCCGGGCCATGTTCTTCCAGGCCTCAGTGCTCCCAGGCTGGCCTCCAGCTCAGCCTCACCCAAGACTTGTGAAAAGGGGTAACTCCTCAAAGCCTTCCTCTTCCTCTGAAGGACTTTGTAGGGTAGGAATAATTAAGATGAAGGAGGGATGCTTCCCACTTCCCACCAGAGGCCAGCCTGTGACAGAAAGTACCTGAGCCGATGGGACAGGCAGATCCCTCAGGGAGAGGCAGCCCTGCAAGCAACCAGCACCTTGAGCTGCACCCAGAAAAAAAATGGAAACCAGGGCAGCTCATGGAGCAGTGTTGTGGCAAGATGGGTGGAAATAAATAAATAAGGGCCATCTGTGGAGCACCCAGAACAGCACGTCCCACCCCATTCTGGAGCAGTTGTAATTTCTGGATTGGGGGGGGATCCTTGGTGCTCTATGAGCTTGGTTGTTTTCTTGCAAATGTTAAGTTACCCAAACTAGCATCATCAGGGCTACTGCTAATTTCTGGATGGTTTTCAAGGGCAGCCCCATGTCAAGAAAGTTGCAGTAATCCATCTAGGAGTAGCGTTGAATCATAGCTTCATGAAGTTCACGTGTCTTACAGAAATACGTGAAATTTGAATTAACATATAACCTCAGTTTTTTTGATTGTTTCATTTATTTCATACATCCACTCATCCATCAGAGATTTTGGGGATCAGGGAAGAGTTATTAGGAGATGGCAGAAGGGAGGGAGAAGTTAAGACAAAAAACCTGAACTGTGAATGTAGCCAATGAGCTGTGTGTCCTTGTTTGCCGTTAGCATGTGCAAGGCCTGAACAAGCTCTGTGACTCAGGACGGAGCTCCCCAGAGGACTAAGGGTGCAGGGATAAACCCAGCATCCTGCACCCACCACTCTGACTGCAGCCACACAAGCGCTCTAGGCATGGGACAAAAAAAAGGGAGACAAGCCCTTTCCTTTCTTGTAGTAGGCGAGCAGAAAAGGTTAAAGAGGTCAATCTTCAAAAAAGCAAGGGCAGTGCAGAGACATCTCCAATATTTTTGCCTCACTCAGCTTCAAAAGCATAGATGTTCCTGTTGGCAAATGTCACACTGCACTGGAAGAGAAATTTAAAGTCTCAACCAGCAGCTGCTGGGAAAATGGCTTCCCAAGGCCTTCTGCTTATACAGTCACACGATAGAGAGACAACCAAGGACAGCTAAATGAACCAGGAGATGCATATATTCAAAATACATTACCTATGGATAATTCCCTTTCCATGCAAGTACTCTAATGCAGCCACTATTTCAGCAGTATAAAACCTTGTACATGTCTCATCAAACGAACCAATCTTTCGGATGTATTTTAGAAGCTCTCCATTTTTAGCGTAACTGAGACCAAAATCTGAACGGCAAGTTAAGAATTATTTCTATTGGGTGATCCAAACTACACAGGCACGTATTGGAGACGGTGCTAAAGAGAAAGCCAGGAGACTGGAAAGAAGCCTGGTGGAGGGGAAGGATATTTACTGGTCTTTCAGGTTCTTTCCTGGACTTGGTAGGGGGGAGGGGGGTTTACTAGCTATTAATTAGAGCTACTACTCGTTTTAGGACCATAATTGGGACTGGAATTTCCATTGCGGTCATAAATCAAGTCAGATCCAAATTGTAGGACTTTTACATGGTTGTTATGCAAATGATGCATTCATTAAGAAAATCATGTGGTCATCAAGCAAAGCCAGCTTCCCCAATAGGCATTTTTTATAGAAATCAGCCAAAACAGTCACAAATAGCAATCAGGTGAGCAGCTGTAAATATGAGCTGCTTGCCTGGTGGTTGCATGGCAATCCCCCAAGTGAGTTGGTTTGACAGTGTGTAAGTCACTCTTTCCAAGGCTTTTTGTAACTTTGAACCATGGTTGCACGGTCATAAGTTGAACTGCCTCTGGAGCATATATTTTAGTTTTTTACTATTTCCCATGACAGAAATGGTGCCCTTGGTTTTCTGCAACTTTTCTGCAACTGGAGGTGGCTCTGAAATCGTAGGATGCCCTTTCTGGCCTTAAAGCCATCGAGAAGCTCATGAGATTCAGCATTCAGCACACACAGTTGGAATTCCAGTTCCATTTCAACCACCGTCGCAAGAGACACCCTTCCATTTTTGCCCACAATACTGCCATTCCAACACAGGAAAGGATACAGAGCTTTTCTTCATCTTGAAATGTGAAGTAGAGCTTCACAAAGAAAGGGTGATCCAGGCGGGACATCACATCTCTCTCCCTGGTCACGTAGGGGACCTTATTCTCTTTGATGATATGACGCTTCTCTAGAATTTTAACTTTTAAACAACAGACAAGTTACTAGACATTTTGACCTCGATCAATGAATCCCACACTCTGCTTTGACCAAGTGCAATTGTCACACCTTGTAGCAATATCAAATGTGGTTTAGAGGGTCATCAACAAACTACAACCAAAAAAGCAAGTGATACTCACTGGCATATTCTCGGGAGGAAGTCAATTCTCTGGCCAGGACAACCTGTTTTTAAGGGAAAGAGAAACCTGGTTACATTTGGAGCATGTGACAAGCACTGGGATGCAAAATTGCAGTATTGTCTACGTTCTTATGCAGCCAGGAGCTCTTTATCTGGACGCTGTCGTAATCAGGGCTGACAAAGGGGTTAAGCACACAAAGGCCTTGCTGAAGTATCTAGTTTAGTATCTAGAGGGCATCAGGAGTGCAAGTCTAACACACCATTCTTACAAAATGGGGATAGAAAAATATCAGGTTAATTCAGCCACTTGCTCTCCATTGTGAGTCCTACCAAGACTGTTCAGCCGATCTTACTTACTCTGTTTCTCAGAATGTTTTGCATGCGCAGAGCAGACAAGATCCACAATCTTATAGGGATCCATAGAAATCAGGCATCTGAAGAAAATGCAACACTTTGGGGAGGAAAAATAGGAATGGGAAGCAAGGGAGAAAAGCAAAGTCTGTCTAAGGGACACATTCTGAAGATCAGGCATTCAATGGCCTAGGCAGGCTTGTCACCAAGAGCAAAGGCCAGGAAAAAAGCAGTGACTGCAGCACATCTGGTTTGGCGTCCTGCAGATAAAAGTCAATGACTCTGCATTAGCATTCCGGATACAAACACGAGCAGCTGCCACAGATACTCACTGTGGAAAAAGATCCTTCCCCAAGAATCTTCCCAAACTTAAAGTCCTCTGGGCGTTTCTTTCGAGGCTGTGGAGGTTGTTGCAAGGTGCTCTCCATATTCAATTCCTGTCTGCTGCCACAGGCAGCAGCAACAGGCTGAAGGCTGGAATCCACCTGGTTCCTCACCATTGATGGAGATGAACAGGAACATAAAGCCACACTGGACTGGATAGGAACAGCATCATACTGCAAAGTAGAAAGTACACTCAATGTTGTGGCTCTCAATCTATCAACGGTCACAAAACAAAAACTGCCAAATCACAAAGCGCTGTAAGAAACCTTGCAGGCACTGGCTGTCGTGTCACCCAAACTCACTTGGCCTAAATGTCCACAACCCAAGTCAGAGGTGACCTCATAGCAGCTTGCCTAGTTTTGGGCTCTAAAAGGTCCTTTTCTTGCTTAGGGTTCAAGCGAGGCAACCGGTGTTCTCCCGCTTCTTCTTCATCCCTTTCTTTTATTCTCTGCCAACTGAAACTCTGCTGAGCAGGCTCGGTCCTCTGTGTTGACCAGACAGTTTGGGTTGCACCAGACCAGAAAATCAGTGCTTCACTTTTCAGCAGTCATATTTGAGTCCCAACCCTGCCTATACTGAACGTCTAAATTTCCTGCTAAAAGAAATGATCGGATAAAAAATTCAACAGCTTAGGGTGCTGGGCAGTTTGGCCGACTCCAAGAGGCTTCCAAGACGTTGAATTGCAAACTCAAGTAGCAGCAGCAGCAGTAGCAAAGTGTGTCTATGTGTGTTTGTTTGCGTGTGTGTGTGTGTGTGTAAACCTGAGGTGAGCTATAGATCAGGGCATTTGCTAGCTCTCCTCATGACCCATTAATAATAATAATAATAATAACAACAACAACAACAACAACAATAATAAAGTTGGAAGGGACCTTGGAGGTCATTGAGTCCAACCCCCTGCTCAGGCAGGAACCCTACACCATTTCAGACAAATGGCTGTCCAGTCTCTTCTTAAAAACTTCCAGTGTTGGAGCATTTACCGCTCCTGGAGGCAGGTTGTTCCACTGGTTAATTGTTCTAACTGTCAGGAAGTCTTGGAGATAAAAGTTCTAGGGAACAGTATTAAGTGCAAAGTATTATTTTTAATAACTTTAAGCACTACAGTAATTTTAACAGTTTTGTTCTACAATTCACTTCCTTCCAAATACTTTCATATTTCTCTTGCTTCCGTAAGAATTTCAAGATTTAGCATAATGAATTATTTCTAGCCCCAGACTTTCCTCTCAACCCTGTGAAATCTCTAAGAGTTCGGTTATTTTTAATATTTTTAAAGAGAACCAGACGGATGCCCTCACAGAGCAGCGTTTGAAAGGCTGCTGGGACAAGGAGACCCAAAAGATTCCCCTCAAAGAATAACCACTCAGGAATTCTCTCAGGAAACGTCCAGCGCAGTTTGCTAAAAATGGCTGCTGCTCACTTCCAAAAGATCAGTCCGCAAGCCTCCCAGCTTGGTAGACCAGAAAAAAGCCAAAATTGCTTCCTGTCAGCTTGAAAGATTTGTGAGCAGGACCGGCAGTGATCAGCGCCTTCTTTCAACTGCCAATGAGCAGCAAGTGGAATAAACCAAATCTTCGTTCTCTCCTGGGTTTTGTTCTTATTTGGATCCTGGCAGAGTTACCTATCAACTAGTATTTGATTAGTACTAAGTACTAGTAATACTCAACTAGTATTAAGTGTTGTACTAAGCCTGAAAGACATTAGTCTCCACTTAATACTGTACGTATGTACATACATGTATATTTATAGAGAGAGAGGTAACTCGATACTCATCGCTAATTGGTTCCTGGAGTTGTGTTGAGTACCAAACAATTTTTTCCCATAAGAAATAATGTAGTGAGTCACAAGACAGCCAACATCTACAAGTTCTAGCTTGTGCGCTAAGTACCAAAGGATGAATATCGGCACAAAATTTTAGCATCAAAATGCATTGTGTACCAAATTTGATGAGTTTCAAAGCAGCTGAGTACCAAAGTACGACTGTATATAGATATGTAAGCAATAATGCCTTATTTTTTAAATATTTTTTTAAAATACCCTTAATTCTACTGTGGAATTGCCATATATTTTTCTGATCTTCTTCTTTTCTGAGCTTTTACTTAACCCCTCAGAATTACTTACTAAATTTCAGCAAAAAGATGCCTTTTCCTGTCAAGACAAATCCAGAGAGCCTGGAAACCATAAAATCAGCCCACAACCCTTGTTATCTCGCAAAATCTGCAGCACTTGAAGCAGACAAGCAGAAAGCCGCAGCTAAAACACAACATTGACCTCAGCCCATAGGAAAGGCTTCAGAATTTGACGGGTCTTGGATTTTTCAGGAGAAGGGCAATCGCCCATTCACAGCTGCTTTCTTCCTGTCCCCCTGCACTGGAATCACATTTGAAATACCTTGGTTCAGCCCATCAGGGCAGGCCAGGTCATTCAGCCTCCTCCTGCAGCTTCACAAAGTGTGCTAGCCAGAAGGCTCACAGAGATGTCTGCAGAGACCAAGACGTGAAAATGAGCCCAGCGCACGTGGCTGCATGCACAGGCCCTGAAGCCCAAAGCAGGAGAAAGACCTCTAGGAATCCAATACAGGAGAGCGATTAACCAAAGGGGAGCAAGAACAGCTCCTCAAACACTCCAATTAGAAATCTGCCATTGCCAGAATGCAACATGCCGATACAGTATTTATAATAGCCCCAAGTAGCATGACCAGGGACGGGACTTTCCGTCTGCCCAGACACCTGAGAATGACTCTGTTTGCCACAGGTAGCTTTTTACACTCAGGCAAGTTCATCAAAGCCTCACTTTCCATTTTTGCTTGGCAAAATCTGGTTTAGTCTGCTCTCAATGAAAACTTCTTCCTCAAAATTCAGCCACTTTGTTTCTATAATACTTTCTTGTAGATTGGCTCAGACTGGATCTTAGGAACTTATTAGAAAAAAACTACCTGATTCGGTGCCACATATAATATAGATATGACAGATACGCATCCATTTGATTTTAAGAAGAGAAGCAACGTCAAGTAAGTTGGCTCATTTAATCTTTTAGATAACTATTGCCTGTCACCATAATGGGTTCCAGAAATTAGAAGAGGTCACGCGTGAGAGAGTTTTCTCCATCACCTCTTGATAATCAACTAGAAATGTTCCCAGGGATTTTGTGAAGTGCTCTGACAATTAAGTTATCGTTCTTTTCTTGTTTTCTGCAATTTAGTTGAGACCTTTGCTAAATTAGAGTGGAGGTTTCTCAAATACATTTCTCTAGAATTTACAAGAAAACGTTCTTGTGTACTGAATAAAATCAAGGTGAATGGGCGTTGTCTTACCTGAATGCCTTTTCTCAGTACGGAGATGGAGAATTCACCAATGGGTTTTCTCTGTCTGCCTGCTCTTGAGACCAAGTAGCCAAACTTGACACGCCCCCTCTTGCTAGGAGATACAGTCCTGACGAGGGCAAAAGTGGCTGAAGGTGGACGAGGTGTTGGCTCTCAATCCCTTAATACCGGCCTAACTGACCTAAAGGGCGGGTGTGGATTCTCCATCTCCGTACTGAGAAAAGGCGTTCAGGTAAGACAACGTCCCTTCTCCGGTACAGGAGATAGAGAATCCACCAATGGGACATACCAAAGCCTCACTGTCCCTAAGGGTGGGAAACAGATAAGGCCGGATTTACATCCCGGGAGACCACCTGCTGAAGGACCCTCCGACCAAAGGAAGCGGAAGCGAAGCGGTCAATAATGGTGTATGAACGGGGAAGGCGAGGACCATGTTGCAGCCCTGCAAATCTCCTCGATGGACGCCTGTGTGGCCCATACCGCAGATGTCGCAGCTCTGCGAGTGGAATGGGCTGTGATATGACTTGGAGTCGGCAGGGAAGAAGACTGGTATGCCTCCGCGATACAGGTCCTGATCCACCTGCCTGTAGTGCCAGCAGACACCTTCTGTCCCAGAGAAGCCGGCGGAAGGAAATAAAGAGGGCCTCAGATCTGCGAAGAGGCTCCATATGTTTGATGTAACACTGAAGGGCCCTGCGGACGTCCAGAGTGTGCCACTGCCACTCTAAGTCATGGGCAGTATTGGGGCAAAAATTTTGTAAAATGATTTCCGTGCCCTATGGAAAAGTGAGTTGACCTTGGGCACGAAAGCGGGATCCAACCAAAGGACCACCCGGTCTCGGTGGAAGATGCAAAGGTCATTCCTGACTGAGAGAGCAGCCAGTTTGGAGATACGCCTGGCTGACGTAATGGCGACAAGGGACAAGGCCCGCAATGGTATATTAGCAATGGGCTCAAAGGGTGGCTTTGTTAAAGCGCGAAGCACACAAGGCTGCTCCCAAGAAAGGTACCTATGCACCACGGGAGGTCTGGTGTTGCATGCACCCTTGATGAAGGCTCGTATTCTAGGATGGCGAGCTAAAGGAACTGAATCCTTACAAGTGAGTAACGTGGATAGGGCTGCCACCTGCCTACAAATGGTCGCAGGAGCCAGGCTTCTGTCTAGACCGTCCAGAAGATAATCTACGATCTGGGGGATGGTTAATTTGTAGACATCCAGTTGTCACCTTCTGCACCAATTGCAAAAGTTCTTCCAAGTAGAATCATAAATGCAATTGGTCGCTGGGCAACGAGAGGTCTGAATCATAGTGATTGCCCGTGATGAGAATAACTCCTGTGTCATGATGCTGCGCTCAAGCGCTAAACGGTCAAGTGCAACCACTGAGGGTCCGGGTATTGGAGGACCCCTTGGTGCAAGGACACCCGATGTGGAGGAATCTTCCTCAAGGGAGACCGGGAGAGATTTATCAGATCGGCAAACCAGGGCCTCTGTGGCCAGTACGGGGCCATGAGGATCACTTCCGCCTGATCCTGGAGCAGTTTGCGGATGGTCGCTGGATTGAGCGGGAGGGGAGGGAAGGCATAAAGGAGACCCTGCGGCCACGGAGTCTGCAGGGCGTCCATCCCCTCCGTCCCTGGAAGGTAATAATGGGAAAAGTACCTGGGGAGTTGGGCATTATTTGACGACGCAAACAGGTCGAGGATTGGATGGCCGAATCTGCAGGAGATCTCGGAAAAGAGATCCAGATGCAATCCCCCTTCCGAGGGGTCTACCGTAGAGCGACTCAGAAAGTCTGCCTGCTGGTACTTGACCCCCGAGATGTGTTCGGCCCTGAGAGGGGCCAGGTTAGACTC